TTTCCATCCTACCTGTGAGGTGGTGCGCATGGCCAATATCTTTTGGTTTGATGTAAACAACTTTTCTTTTCTTTTTTTGCCTCAAATTCTATGTTGCATTTACAAAATTTCAAAACAACTCTTTAACTTACTATTTCTCCGTATTTGGTTTCTATTCTCACTCCTACTTATTATTTATTTTATCTAAAATAATTTATAAAACTATAATTACTTTTGGATTTCATTCCCTTTCAATTTTTCATCTTGCAAATATGGTTCTTATTTTTTTATTGTTATTTATTTTATTTTAAAAAAATAAGTTGTTTTTTTTACAATTTCATCATTAAAAGTTAATCATCATTATTTTTATTGTTATTTTTTTACTTTGATTTTTTTTTAAAATTAAATACTAAATTAGTTGGAAATTAAATATTTTTATTAAAAGTCTAAGATTTTATAGGTCGTGAATTTTAAAGATTAGCTTAGATTTAGGATGATTGCTCGAGTTTGCTTTTTTTATGTTAAAACTTATGTTTTTTTAATTTTATTATTTAATATTTAAAAATCAATGATTTTTTATTAATTTTTTTAATTATTTTACTGTCTTGGATTTTTTTTTAAAAAAAACAACTTCTATTAGTATTTTTCATATATGAATGTATGTTCGTGTAGTCAGTGCCTAACTAGTAGCATGCACAGGATGGCAACCCCACTCCCTGGCAATTCCATGAACACCCACTCCATATTGTTGACTTGACCAAATCCACCCAACGATAGAAAACGAGAGGCCGGCTACCTTCTACTCTCGGTTGTTCTCCTCTCAACGCCCTAATTAATCACTCCTTTTTTTGAATATACACGACCATCAAGATTTAATTATTCTTCTCTCTCTCCTCCTGTGTGTTTTTAAGATCTGTGCGCGCAAGAAGAGTGATGAAATCCGTCAATAAACAATGACATTTCTTATTAAAAAAAGAAGAAGAAGAAGACGAGGGGTTGAAGTGGGCATCTCTAATCAAAGTCTAACCCACCTTCGTAATTATATATTGTTTTGGGGGATCTCACCCACGAGTTAATCCTACAAAATCTCCTAATGAAAACAAAAACCCTAGTCAGGAACCTCCATTAAGAAGAAAGAAAGTAGAAAAACAAATAAATATATAAAAAGCCCATCTGGTCTCTTTTGATTCTCCACATCCTTCCGAACCACCCACGCTCGAACAAGACACTCCTTCTCTCCTGCAATATAAAAAACCTCGAGTCTTTACACCGGGCAGAGCAGCGGCAACGAGACGCGTGTCGATGATAATCACAAAAAGGTGTACGTTTAAAGTATTTTTTATAATTATTTATTTGGTAAAAAGTAGTTTTTATTTAAAAAACATTTTTTTATTAAATTCATGATGAAAAGTAATTTTTTTTATGTATAATAGTATTATAAATAATATATTAAAAATATTTTTTAGTATTTAGCTGTATTATGAAAAATCAATTATTAATATTTTTTTAAATTTATTAAAATAATAAAAAATAAATTTTATAAATTAAAATATTGAATAAAAATTAAAATTAAAATAATAAAAATTAAATTTAATAAATAAAAAAGTTGAAAGATGGTAAGATTAAAAAATAATAATTATAATTTTATAAATTATTTCAATTAAAATAAATAAAAGTAAAAATAATGATGATCAAATCTGGTAGATAAAAAATTTTAATTAAAAAAATAATAATAAAATAATAATCATAAAAATAAAGATCAAATTCTAAGAGATAAAATTTTAAAAAAAAATTCAAAACAAAATATATAATTCTAAGAGATAAATTTTTTTTAAAAAATTCAAAACAAAATATATAGCAATTAAAAATTTAAAAATCAAATTTTATATAATCAGCAAATAACATGATATTTTTAAAAATTTTATAATTTAGGAAAAGTTTTTTACAATAAAAAAGAAAATTTTCCAAAAACTAAACTAATTTTTTTAACAAAAAAATATTTTATATTTCTAATAATAAATAAAAAGTTTTTTACAACAAAAAAGAAAATTTTCCAAAAACAACTAAACTAATTTTTTTAACGAAAAAATATTTTATATTTCTAATAATAAATAAATAAAAATTATAAAAATTAATTTTTAACAAACTAATTTTCACGAAAGAAACATTCCTTATTATTATAGTAAATCAACCATCTTTCTCCAAACCCCCTAGTGGTGTTTTGGATGACTATCACTTACCAAATGGTCATAGGTTTTGACAATTACGTGCTTAGAGATCATGATTAATTGCGATCATATTTAAACCCATTATGTTCTCCTTTATCGTATCCTTGCTCAATCCAACAAGTCCCTACCCACCAAAATTAAAATATAATAAATAAACAAATAAAAACAAAGCTTTCCAGCCACACATGCCAGCTGATCCTGCCAAATGATAATGGCCCGGAAGCATCAGGCACGTAAAAGAGCAATTAATTAATGTAGCATTTCATTTTCCAAAAGAATCATAATGTTGTTTGATGCTGCTTTTTTCTTTTTAAATGATGCTGCAGTGAAAGTGTTAAATTTGGAACCCACAGTGGACACTGCTGCGTCTACATTTACGTAATATTTAAATCGTGGGTTTTTGTTTTCTCAGAGATTTCAGTCATTCTAGGGTTTTGTTTTTCAATTAAGAAGATTTTTTTTTTCAACCACGTGATTTTTTAAATGCTGTTTTGAAAAGCACCCTTTTAAATAAAAAAACGTCTGTTCTTATGAAGCATGTTTCCTCAACAAACAATTATTTAGTTTTTAATAAATATAAATTGGTTTTATTTATCCTTTTTAATAAGATAAGTCGTTGCAGCAACAAGATTCATTGGATTGATTTTTTTTTTTAAATTAACGTGGATATCCAAACCAGCTTGCGTGCACCACGACTAATTAAGATAAATCGTTGCAGCAACAAGATTCATTGGATTGAATCTCCTGTAACTTCTACACAAAAAAACAAAAAAAACAAAAACATTTACGGCCCAAAAACTCCATAAATAAATCATTTGGGGTGAAAGGGATTTCACTTTTTTGAGACCGAATTGAAAACTTAAACTCCTAGATATTAAAAATTGTCTGTGATCTTTAACAATTTTCCAGAAATAGTTAAAAAAATAATTTTATTTTTAATAAGGTTTTTTATTTGAGTGAACCAACTTCCCGAGCAGCTCGAGTCACTCAGCCATTAACTAGCCCGTTTTCCTCTCTTATATATATTTTTTCAGCTACATGACACATTTCTCTTTGTTTAATTTTATAAATTATTATTTGATAACTTGTAGCGCACATCTTTTTTACACAGAAGATTATTGAAGAAAACGGGACATATTCTATCAGTAATAATTATCTTTTTGCTACACCTAATTACAGCCGCATGAAAGGTCAATAAAAGTCATACCTCGTGGCACACTCCCTTATCCAATCATGTACCAGGCACTAATCCAAGCTCGTACCAGCCAACCACCGCCTTGACTAGCCTATGACGTGATTTTCTCCTCCATGAAAAAAATTCTAAACTAGGTATGTAGATATAACCGGCCTCACCAAACAGGGACCAATTTTTCAGACATGGACTGAACTCAGATATGCAATGCACACAGGATACTTTCCTTTTCCTCCACAAGTAATAACTCAGAGGAACTCTCGGCTCACGGGTACAATTTCACAGTAGACAATAGAGAGCCCAACATTTTTTTCTGTGTGAAGTCTCACGCACAGGTGCTAGCTCTCCCAGTTATTTGCGTGCCCTCGAGCTCCTCCTGTCGCTGTATAGAGTACCGGAGCAGCCGTGAATGACGAATTAGCCCAGACCTACTTAAGAATCATGTACAAGTCAAATGTAGGTGTGGCAGTCCTAGTTAGCAGCTTTGGAAAAAGAAAGAGCTCGTTGAAGTGGTGGTTCATATTTGAGTTTCATTTTAAATGAATTATTCTGGCTCCTACCACAGAATCTGTAACTACATTTCATTAATTTAATGTTCACCAAGTGTGTCGTAAGAACTATACCCTGGATGGATGTGGAATTCAATCAAAGTCCCTGATTCAACTCAGTCCCATTTAACTCAGCCAGATGAATTTGAAATTGACAAGCCAGAACATGAAAACAATGAAGTCATACCTACCAAACTAGTGATAATTTAAGGTTGCGGCATAGTGCTCGAGATTAACAAGTCATGTGCTGAAATGTTGGTGGGTATAGAAAGGGATTGAAAGCACAAATCTGCATCTAAGCCATTCCTAACAATCCAACTTTCTTGCCAACTCGAACTCCAGGATGTCAGTGCTGCTCCCATTTGGATTAATTTTAGCTAAAGGTCCGAGAGACAGGATGTAAATGCAGCTGAACAAGAACAGGTGCTGTGGGAATATCACTTGCATCCAAATGGGTCAAACCTTATGGTCCCTTATCACTAGAGTAGATTTGTCTCCTTGGTCGAGTTAAACTCAAATATTCTCCTCTTGGCGATCAATTATTAGTCCATTTGTGACCAATCACGGGGACATTTTAATTTCTATCCTACCTTTTTCCCTTGCACTTAACAGCTCATTCACCATAGATTGCGGCCTGTGAGACACTTTTAATAAAGTCGTAGCCCTAGATTCACTTTAATGTTTCCCCAAAGGAGTTTTCTTTTCGGTTTAAAGGGATGCTAGATTAAGAATTTGAGCGTTTGGGATATCCACAGGCTGATGCACCTGGCAGAGCTGAAGAATACAAGGAGCGGTGGACACATGAATAGCAGAATACAGGGAGTTTTTCTCATTATTGCCAAACTAAACGCATTTGATCTGATTTCTTGGCGAGCAAGATCCAGATAATACGAATCAAACTTCCTGAGAAGATATCTGCAAATGCAATCACTGCTTGACAAACCAATGGGATGAGTCATTAGACAAATAATCGTGGTTTCGGATAATGGAGATCCTACCTGTGCATACAACTCTATATGTAGATTTTATATATTCGACATTTGAAAAGAAGAATGAATCATGAATGTAATTCCTCCTATATTTTCCTTCGTTCTCCTTTTCTTTGTAAGGCATAAGTGGACATTCGAGCCAAATGTACACTAAAAAAGATTATTATTTGTCCTAAAACGATTCACCATACAAAATCGTTGACAAAATATACGGCCCTCTTGGGCAGATATTATTTGGTTGTGCCAATAACACTATTGGTCATGCTGAGCATCATCAATCACTTTCTGTGCTTCTTCTCGGATGCATGTGAGATTTGTTTTTATCTCCTTGCAGATTCTACCTTCAATTAGGTTAACAGGCAACCACATCTTAGGCTTTACATCCACCAAATATGAAAGAGTTGTCTCATACTCTTGACCAACGGAATCTTCAGTTTTGGGTTTAGCAAGCTGCATGAACCATCATATTTGAATCATATGCTTTTGCAATGAAAAGTAGAAAACAAGAGATTCTCTACAGACTTACCGCTGAAAGTCATAAAACGAAAGAAGAAATTATCAGGTTCGCCAATAGCTGTACTCCGTCCTCTAAAAAAAAACTCGAGACCCATTATGAAAATAATTCATAGGTCCCATGTTTTTGTGAGGAGTGCAGCTTTTGATAAACCGAATAATTCCTCGATACAGCTTTTGATAAACCGAATAATTCCTCGAAAAAATCATTCATTGTACATATCATTTACATGCAGTCAACTATTGGGTCAAACACAGAAACGGAAACTAAGAGGCTTGCCAGTGTGCCAGGAGGGTCAATCACAATGTACAAACAATGATAGAAAAAACTCAAACTTTTGACGATGAGACAGATGATATAGCCTCCATAAGGCTGGATGGAAAAGAAGCAAAAATTGCTGATTCTTAATAATTAAGGAATTGAAAGCATTTTCAATTGAGTTCAGCATCTAAAAGGATTATAAGTGACTTGAAACATTTTTATGCCAAATTTTATCTATATAGTTTCATGTAAATCAGATGTCTTGCAGATGTAAATATTGTTTGCTCTTAATCTAAAACACAACATCACGGTCAAAACTTTATACACTGGTTGGAATGCCTAGTTGTCATCAACTGCAGAGCCAAAAGAGAGAAGTCACTAGTGGAGTTAGACATACACATCAGACGCCAAATCTTAACGCAAGACCTTTGGCCATTGGGCTGTGGATTTTTCACCTGGTGCAATGGCTGTGCTCACTGCTCAGGAGTTTGTACATAGCATCTCAACATGCTATCATAAGCCAGTAAAAAAATTGATTCAACGTGCTACCAGATTCTTGGTTCAATCGTTTTGGGACAGTCTCTACAGGTTGGAGTTCTGATAAACTCAATTCTCCAAGCTGCTTACTATAGGATACCTTTGTTACTACCATTATTTCACACCATCCAGGAACTTTTATAACATCAAGTACTATTCTAATTTTCTTGAACACCAGAACAACTTGAATCTTTCAGGTGCCGGCCATGTCAGCTGTAACCTTTCCAAAGTAAGCAAGAAACCAGATCCTATATCATGCTTAATAATGAAAGCATGAAGTTTGCACTCCTAGAAAAAACTGTGCTAACTTGGATAGACTTTCTATTAAGGTCCAAAGAGCTTGATTGAAGTCTCAAATATACAAGGTCATAGCCAGTGAATATGGGGATGCTGAACAACCAAGAAACAACTAATTCGTACCTGTTCAATCGACCACTTTCCTTCAAAAAACTGAAAGTCACCTTCTGTCATCTTAAATTCAATATCACGCTTTTCCCCAGAAGCAAGAGTCTGAAGATCTCTCTCATAACAATCCAAAATTGCTTTTGCATTAAATTTTAGGCCAAATGCCAAGTTTTGCTGTCCAATCTGTTAATTAGAATACAATGATTTAACAAGGTCAAGAAAAAATGTTTCAGCTAAACTTGTGACCATAATTTATTTAAGAATGGGGTTTTCAATTCAAGTCGTAGAAAAAACTCTATCAATGACCTTTGATGCAAGTTTAGATTTCAGTCGAATAAAAATACAGAGAAAGGCAGCACGTGTGTGTTTGTGTGTTGCTGTGCACCTGCGTGTGTGTGCATTCTTGTGCAATTGTGTGCATGTGCGTGGAGAGAGAGAAACAGAAAGGCACAATGCTCACCTATGTTTATGATAAATCACAAGTTAATCAAGGTTTTTAATAACTTGAAGAACAAACATTAACTAATCAAATATCTACTTGTCAATCAATGTTTTTATTACAAGCGACAGACGATAAATGTTGAGATATTTATGGAAAGATCCTATATCAGTCTATTGGTGTCTTGGGGAGAACTGACTCAGTGGGATTCAAATCATGACTTGTCAAGAAGGCTCAAACTCTATTTGATCTTACTTAAGGCCTAAACTTCAACCATGTGTTTTCAATGCCCCATATTTCCACTAAACTTGCAATCCATGACACATTTCACCCTATCAACACATTATTTCTCAAACTCAAGACTTCCCTAATGGAAGAAGGTACCTCATTTCCACTAAAAAAAGACTTCAAAACTCCATTTCGGCTTGTTCTAGAACATGAGACTCTTTCTAAATTTTCTCATCACAAACCAACAACTAAACAGCTTCTCCTTCTGGCTAATTACAGATCTACTAAAAGTTCCCAGTTACTAAACCGTCTAATCTCCTGTAAACCGCCTTTGCTTCAAAGTTTAGGCTCCTGAGATATTTTTCTTGCTCCTTCCCCCTCAACTCTCTCTTATCTCCATTCCGTCACTTGTATGCACACCACTCCCTTCATTTCTTTTTTACAATCATCAATAATTCAATATAAAAAACTCCAACGACTAGAATGTAAAACTACATCAGGCAAGAATATCCTTTTCAAGAATGTATTTATTGTAGCTCTACATATTTGTTCCAAAACAACACTCGATTACGAAATAAAAACTCTTCAACAAAACCCTCAAATATATTATAAACTTGCAGTTCAGATTACATTTTTGAAACTGCAAGCTGCTAATATATATCCTGATGTATATTCAAACATAAAAAATAAAAATAAAAGTATCTACTTCCAGTTTAATAGCGAAACTGAAAATTAAGAAAGAATGAATTGAATTTACCTGATAAAGACGAGCGAATTTGTCTTTCTTGTCAATCAATTTGCTGACAGCAAGACCAGGAATGAAATCAGCCAACTTCTCATAATCAGTTAAAATCTTCCACACAGTGTCGAGGCTAGCATTTATGGAAATCTTGGACCGAATTCTCCTCGAATTCTTTTGAAGCTTCTTTATCTCTATAAAAACACCATCCTCTCTTACACTATCACCCGACTCCTCCTCACCAGCATAAGAACAATACCCATCATCATCATCCCCGTCCAGAAATGTGGACGACCCGGAATTTGAACAACGAAGCCTGGTGGATATGAATTGGGATGGAAGGCGGTGCGTTGCTTGTGAGCTAAGGCTAGCGAATTTAGGAGGGAAAGAAGAGAGCTTGGTGTTAGTGAAAGACGGTGGGAGCAGGAGACAAGGATAAGAGGAGTAGCAGCAGCAGCAGTAGTCTATTGGGACTGCAAAGGCGCGCATTATGCAGCAGCAGCAGCAGCAGTCTATTGGGACTGCAAAGGCGCGCATTATTTCGCTCTCTTCCGACAACAACCCCGCATTTCTTGTTTGCAGGCTGCAGCCAGCCTACTGCCTTCGCTGCGTGTGAGATTTTGGATTTGGTGAGCCCCATAAAAGTAGCTGAGTTGGATCTCTACAATACACATGGGCCTTACACTCCATGGTCTCAAGAATCACGATAAGGCTTGCTCCAGTCTAAAATTTCAAGTGTATTTTTTTTTTTAACAAATTGAAGCAAAAATAACAAGAAGTTAAATTATTATTATTTTTAAAATATGCTAAAGTTATGCACATTCATTTTGAATTAGATAGTTAAATTCCTAAGGCCGGGTTGCTGCATGCCCAGCCCAATCAATAATGAGTTAGATGCTAACGGACATTGAATCAGATATGTTTAAAATTATAATAATAATTATGGTTTAAAATATTTTTTATTTAGAAATATATTAAATTTTTTTTAAAAAAATTATTTTTATTAATATATCAAAACAATTTAAAAATATATCTAAAAAAATAATTTTAAATATTTCTTTTTCAAAATTTACCCCTAAAACGAGGTAGTACCTGCCTAACTTTTTTTTTTTTCGTTGTCCTCTCCAAGTTCAACACTGCCTATCCTTGCGCTAGAAAAGTAGTCTTTCCTCAGCTTCGAAGCACAAACACAGCCACAAAGAAAAAAATTGCTCTCCTCTACTCTTTAGCCTGCCAAGGAAATGGCATCTACGTCCTCAATGCAAGTGGTACACGGCACTCACCTTGTTTTTCAGGTCAGTCTCACTCCATAGTATAATCACGCAGTCTCTCTCAAGTTTAACACCTTGAACCAACAACATAAACACAGAAAATACGCACAGTCGAGAATAATGACATGACATACCTTCGGGCATTGTTGTATCCGCTGCTGCCATGGTTGCTAATTGGATTGGGAAAACCTTCAAGAACCCAGTTCTTGTTTTTGCTGTTGCTGGTTTCTTTGTTTTGTAATGTCTCTGTTTTTGGGCTTACTAATTTACGCACTAAATATATAGAGAATGACAGAGAAATGGTTTCCCATGCCTCTTTGTAATATTCCAACGTAATTTTGACAGTTGGACTTAACATTCAGTTCACCATCTATCGAATCCCGTCTTCTGCGTTGTCTTCCAGCCAGTGTTTTTTTTCCAGTAGTCAACTCTGCACATCCCTGCTTCAATACACTATTTGGCTAGAATTATTGTGCATTTATTTCCTGCAAATGCTTTTATTAATCTCACAGTATATTGTTCCCTAGTTGGAAAGCTATGAATAAATTGAACAAGTATTATACTATCCAGATGATTTCTTGACTTGTAGGTAATACTCATGTGTGGTTTATTTTTATATTTTAAAAGTATTTTTAAAAAAAATTAATTTTTTATTTTTTTTTGTTTTTTTTAAATCATTTTAATGTGTTGGCATAAAAAATATTATTTTAATATATTTTTAAATAAAAAATATTTAAAAAATAACCACATATACATTTCTAAATAATTACTTATTGTACTTGTGACAACTCGCCCTTTGAGTTGCTGAATTCTTAGCTGCTTGTGTGGCTTTCCATGGAATCACTTAAGCATGACCTTCAATTTTTTTTTCCCGTGACGTCAGCTTTCGATGTGCTTTTCTTTATATTTCAGTTCATTTTGGAGAATTCTTGTAATCTATGAATGTATTTCGAATAACAAAAACTTGAAAATGTGTGAAATGCAGTATTAATCATTCAAATAAGGCCAGCTCATCTGCCATTTCATCATTTTTTGCACCGCTGTGCCCTTTATGCAACCTTCACAGCTGTGAAAAAAGAAAAGGGGGGTTGCTAGAGACTTGATTCTAACAACTAATTACTAATCGGTTACTACAGTAGGGGAGTGAGATGATGAAATAATGAGATCTCAAGACGTGTGCTGATCACATGTACTCTGTCGCAGCAAGCAAATTTCCTGTTTAATGACATCACACTTTGATGCCTTGGCCAGTGATTTGTTTGTCAGTAGACTTGCTCAAAAAATGTTCAGAAATATACTAGTTCTTACCTATTCTGGCTCATATCCTTAATATGTGACTTGTTTTGTTTCATCTGATTCATTATTTACAGGCAGTGTGGTTATGACCACGTCGTTTTGAATGCAAGCAGGTCACATAAGATATCTACCATCAGAAATGCCTGGACTGGTTACTCTCAAAGTCCTACTTTGAACTGCCTTGGAAGAACCTTGGCTTCAAGAAATGTCTGGACTGATTACTCTCAAAGTCCTACTTTGAACTGCCTTGGAGCAGGCTTGGCTTCAAGATCTCACTATGCATCGGATTTTCCTGTCATTCAGCTTTCTAAATCATCTTCTATGAAGAATCAAAGAATGATGTGCGTCAACCCAATTGCAAGTGTAGCTACTTAATCAATCCCTTTGCTTTGGTATTCAGTAATGATGCACTTAAAAAGCCTTTAGAACAATGGACAGCTAAGTTTCATTATCAGGCATCATATCTCAATGGGTTTCTTTTCTATCTATGTTAAGTAGCGATACAGGAAATTGAGATATGATTACCAATGCAGAAGATGGCCTTTCTTTTTCCTTGCTTCTTTAGCATCAATCTGCTCTCAAATGTTGAGACTAGCCATGGAATAGGTCCACAAAACTGGCAAAAGAAAGTAAAACTACAACACAGCCCAGTTTCAGCATTTTTTACCCTTACAGGTAGGTGGTACAATTCAATCTACAATAACCCAAAATAAAATAGGTTTAGCCCCACTTTCAGTTCACTTGTCTCCTCGAGCTGGTGCTTTATTTATTAATTTATTTATTATTTAAGAAAATTTTTAAATGATTATATATAAATTAAATTATATTCTAGGTGAGATCCTAAGATATAATTTATATTATTTTCTAACATATTTTCTTAAGTAAAAACTTCTCGAACTTAAAATTTACATAAGCCTACATTATTTTATACTTAATTTTTATTAAATAAATAAAAATAATAATATTCACCTGGTCATTAAGATTTTAATACCATATTAAAAAATTATCTCATTTAAAAACGCTTTAAAGTGAAGTTGTAGAATGTAATTTAATTATGTAAATTTTTTTTTTTTTGGGTTTTCTTTTGGGGCATAATGAAGCACGCATAAGTCACCTCTTAAAACCATGTGGTTTTCATTTTAGTGATTATCCCTGTCTAGGTCCATTTGCTGTTTTATCACCCTTGTGATTTTTCACCCTTTACACGGTAAATCTCCCCTAATGTTTTTTTTCCTCCCTTTTTTCTCTCTCTTTTGACCTTGAAAAACGCTTTTCCTTGCAAATAATAAGAAAAATATGGTATTTACTATTTATTAAATTTATCATGTTTAGTTTTTATTTATTTTTAAATTTAAATTATTTAATTTTCAATTTAATTCTTTAACATTTAATTTTTTAAATATTTTTTTTATATATTTATTTATTTATTATTTATTTATTTTTTTTTAATTTGATTTTTTATCCTTTTCAAATATATTTTTTTCAACTTTATTTCTTAAGATTTTATTGGTTGAGAATTTAACTTTATGATTCTTTTAAATTTATTTTTTATGGTTCAATTAAATCTTATGACCCGTGTTACAAGTTTTAAATCAGGTTTGATTTAATTTTTTTATATTTTTTAAAATTAATTTTTTTAATTTTACCTTTTAATGTATTAATTAACATTTTTTATTTTTTAACATTTTTTTTATGAATTTATCATCATCTCATGTACCAATCATTGCTTCCTACGCGTGAGCTTTGGTGACACAGATTATCTGTTGGAGGCATTATTTGAGGCTTAATCATATGGTGATGTGTGTTTGACCTTCGATGTTAAAACACTGCATGCAAGAGTTCGTAAAGGGCATGGCAACGAAGGATGCTCCTTCCATCGTTTTATCGAAGATTTCATGATCCAAGGAGGGGACTTCACTAAAGGAGATGTGAGCTCACTGTTTCTCTCAATGGGCCAAACGCATACTGCTTCTTTGGTAGGAAGTTGATTTCTCCATGAAGAAATTGTTAATCTGGTCGTAACTGCAGGGAACTGAAGGACAGAGCGTATATGGCTCTACCTTTGAAGATGAGAGCTTTGCCTGTGAGTATTTGCAAGAGCTTGAAGAAGCATATTGTAAACTTCAATAATTCGGAGCATCACACAAACACCCCAATCCTTTTTTGTCCTTTACTCTATAACATGGGTGATTTGACTGGGGTCTTGGTAGGAAATGACTAGCAGGTTGCTAAAATCCTAAAGCCATCATTTGCAGTGAAGCATGTTGGACCTGCTGTGTTGAGCATGGCAAGTGCAGGCCCAAATACCAATGGGGGCCATTTGTACAGTAAAGGTAAGATAGCTTTGGCGGTTTTGTTCCTTTGTTTGTTGCATATGTGGTATTTGTGTTGTGAACGTGAGTAGGTTAATTTATAGTTTTAATTTTTTTTATTAATTTAAAGCTATAATTTTTTTGATATGATTTATTAATTATTAAGGGTGTGCCATAGGTTTACAAGAATTAGCACTCTTTACTAGAAAACCCACTAAACAGTGGAGATATTTTTTTATTGTTCTGACCGTATAGGGTTAGTTTAATTATTTTTTATTTAAAAAATTAGTGTTAAATATTATTCAATGACACTATATAAATAGACGGAAATCGCTTGATGACATAACATTTACAGTATTTGATTGCAATTCTAATTTTGTTTCTAATTGTATTTTATCTGATGTTGTTGTACTCTTAGAAAATTTATAAAAATTGTAATCCTTGTCGGATGCATTTTATACATGATGGAATTATAAATAGTTAAATAGAATAATAAAAAATATTTTATATAAAGTATTATTTATTTCATAATATAATAACAATAGTTAAATCTATAATATTTAAATTAAAAACTATTAATATTAATATATATTTTTTAAAATTACTTTATAACTTCAATTTCAAAAGCATTTTTAATCAAATACATTAAATTATTTTTTGTTTAATCTTAATTTCAATTGTAGTTTTACCTAAACATATATTTTTTCAAATCAATCTTAACTAAAATTATATTTTATAAAATAATTTTTTGAACTTTCCACAGTTACTGTGTTTCTAATGTGAAATGTCTTACGTTGTCTTCTCGAGAATTAGAACGCTTGAAACTTTGGTAGGCTTGGGCATATTTATATCCTGTTATTATTACATAGACAGGAAACACGTGGCATCGGCAATCTGATAGAGATACTTACTTAATGATGTCTCGGTTGGTCTGTGCTGTAATTAACTGATAGAGGTAATGTACGAAGGAATAAGAATGAGAACATTCGTTCCTACTTGTTCCATGGGCGGAGGTGGAGAGATGCTTCCGCGTCCTGATCCTGAAAGATAGCATGAAAAGGAAATGTTGTCAAACATTTAGAGATAGCATTTCAAAGGATTCTGTAATGTCAGTGGGTACAGAGATAGGTTTGAGACGTGAAGTTTTCTATTTTTATGGAATTAATTGTCTAACTATATTTTTGGTGGAGGTTGAAAGCGATATATTTTAAGAATAGAGCAAAATTTTAAATTTATACACAATAACTTCTATAAATTTATTAAAATTTTTTGTTTTGTTCATGATAAATATATAGAGAGAGTTTGCAGAGAAAAATTTTAAAAATATATTTTTTAATTAATTTTTATTAGATTAATTAAAGTTGACTTGGATTGTTGTTTTTGCAATCTTTTCTAATTAGTTTTTTAATTATTATTTTTATATAGTTATCCTAATTTTATTATCTATATCATGAGATTGACAAGTTGATCTATGTTGATTCTGTTTATTTTTTAAATCTTTTTTTAATTGAATAATTTTTTAATTAGACTTTGTTATTTATTTATTTATTTTTTATGAGATTATTTTAATCTCATGACTCAAGTTACAAGTTTAATAGGTTCAGTTTATTTTTTTGGATCTTTTTTTAATTGATTTTTTTTACAATTTTATCCTCTAACAACTTAACCATTTTTTATTTTATTTTTTTTAATTTTATTTGTTAAGGAATTGGACTTCATAATTATTATTTTTATTTGTATTCTTTGTAGTTATCATGGTCTTATTGGTTTAGCTTTTTGTTTTTGTTTTTCAACATTCAACATTTAACATTGTGTCTTGGAAATGGAGTTTCATAATTTTTTTATTTTTATTTTTATAAAATTATCTAATCTCATTATCTAAATTTCAGGTTTAATAGGTTAACCTAATTTAACACGAGTTGTTGTTTTTTGTCTATTTTTTTAAATAATTTTTTTTAAATTTCATTCTTTAACATTGAGTTAATTGGAAAATCAAGCTTCATAATGTTTTTTGACTTGCTTTTTATTAGGTTATCGTGATCTCATGACTCGGATCGTGAGTTTAAATGGTTAACCTAAGTTAACTCAATAGTTTTTTTATCATTTTTTAATTTAACAATTTGTTTTTTAATTATATCTTTCAACACTACACTAGATTACTGAGAAATTGATTTTCATTGTCTATTTTATTTTATTTTCTATAGGTTTATTATAGTCTTATGATCTAGATTATAAATTTTACAAGTTAACCCGAATCGATTTAATATATTATATTTTTAAAATTCAAGAAAAATATTATTTAATATATTATTATATTAATATTTTAAAAAGATATAGTTGAATTGACATCATATGAATTTATAATTATAATTATTTTAATTAGAAAACATATTAACAATATTTATATATATATAAAAAAAAAAAAATTGATCCGAACTTGAGCGTAGTTCAGGACAATAATCAGTGCAAGCTCTGTTTTGTAAGCTCGTGGTAGAGATGGATATATTATTGTTAAGTGAACATAAATGCATATAACATTTGTGTCACACTGATAACTCAACGATGCTACATGAATTCATGTGTAGTCTAATGTGCCACATGCCCATAACAAAAACAATGAGCTATTAGTTTCACGGTGGAGATTTTTTCATCAGTACTTCATTTCGTTTTCATCTTTTGGCCATTAGGTCACTTTGCTATCAACGACCAGATTTGATGTTGTGTAAATGTGAGGTAGCTGGAGGGAAAACCTAAGCAAGGACCACAGTTTCAACTGCAGTGGACTGGATAACTTGCTCATTCTGCTCTCCTTCATCCTCCCATATTTCAGGTATCGCTTCTTTGATATTGTGGATGTTCATCAAGCATTGATCTGCACCTGGTACAAGGACTGAGCTCCCTACCTGCCATGATTATTGAAAAACACATTACTAGTCTGTTCTACTGTGTGTTTGCTGATGATAACAAGAAAAGCAGTGATTTGTAGAGCTTACAATAACTGTACGAAGTCCTGCTGCTTTCCCGCTAGCAATGTTTCGAGCACTGTCGTCAAAGAAGATCTAAGAAGAATGAAGGAAAAAGGGAGAAAAAAGAAATGAGATATATATAACTCCACATGATCTCTGCAAATTGGAAGCAGAACAATGCTAGTTTTCAGGTTGAAGTAAGAAGTCAAATATTACTGTCTTCTTTGGATCCACATTTGCAATCTGAATAGCTGCTTCGATGGCCTCCAGAGAGGGTTTACAGAGGATTCGTGACTTGGAGCTGATACCATTATCTAATGCATTTTTTAATATTTTTTTGCTTCCAGTGGCAGCATTACCATCAAAGTCACTTGGCTCTGATTCACCTCCTGCAATCACTGCATCATTATCTAATGCATCCTTGTTATTTTCATTTTCTAGAGGAGGATTAAGGGTTTCATAGCATATGACGCCCTCAAAACAATCTTCCAATCCCATCCTTTTGAGAACTTCAGCTGCATGCGCCTTATCAGCATTTGTGAAGATCTGAAAACGTTAGGGCACATCTTAGAAAATTTACCAGTACTCCATGTCTACTTCGCTGAAATATATTTCATTTGAACGGAAAGAAAGGAATTAAATTTGACTTACTATTTTACGCTGTGGCAAGGAAAGTAGAAGGTTCCTCAGCACCGGATCAGGCTTCAGTGTTTCGTAAGGCAATCTTCCATGAACGAAGGCATGAAACTCATCGTCATCAAACTCATATCCAAGAGCCTGGTTTTCATTGTGTTAAGATTTATTAGTTAAACTCCCAGCAGAGAAGGGAGGACTCTACTATAAAAGAATCAAGGATAGAATTTCACCTTTAGACCGGCCATTGTTGTTCCATGTTCCCTGTATAATTCCAAGCACATCCTCGGAACTTCACTTTCTTCAATATGTAGCTTTTGCAACATGAACTCTGCAAAGAGAATAACTCAACCCGCATTATTGATGTAATTGAATTGGTCACCTGTAATTACCGTGATGACTGTTTCTGTACTACTGGTCTAACCTTCAATGTTTTTGCGGCAAGCCAGGTTGAGACCCAAGCTCAAGGAGTACAGAGTATCATCCATGTCTGGAAAGCATATCGTCATTAATTATACAGATAAATTAAGAAAATGTAAATCAGATTTCGTAAGCTCTCTGTTGGATATCACAGCTTGTCAGCAAATTAACAAATCACTGGCTTTAACGTACCAAAGAGCAGGCACTCATATTTCGGTCCATTGGCCCTCTCAGCAGTGTCCATCTTAAAACGTTTCCCTGCAAGAAGGTTTCTGTAAGACTTCCCAGGTTCAAGAACCTTAAATAAGGCAAGATAAAGTAAAAGAACCACTTGAAAGACATAAAAAATCAGCACTGTAACAAACTTGAGGGGAAAAAAAGAAAGAAAGAAGATTAACGAACACATTGGCAAAGCGGATAAATGATAACCATGGAATGCTGCTAAACATAGATAGTCATTTAGAAGGAATCAAAGTGAATGAATGGATAGAAAAAGAATGAAAGCAAGGACCCAATGAACCCGTTGGAAGAGTAGAGGCCTAAATAACACTCAAGAGTTTCCAATTTATAGCAGGTTAAAATTATGTTCGGCTTACGTTTCCATTTTCAGGAGTTGTCGTGTCTAGTGATTATTGGAAGAACACTGAAACAGGTTCATATAGATTATAATGAAGGCAATGAATTTGGTGCATCAATATCAACCTCCTTAGGGCAGCAAAAATAAACAAAGAAATCATTGAAAGAAACAGAGTGCAGCAAAAACAACCTTTAAATAGCACGAAATGGAAACTAAATCAGGTCCGGCGCACATTCCAGTAGTAGCTGAATGGACCTATTTATATATAGAAATGCATGCATGACCCACCAACACGAGGAATAAGACAGATGGCACATGCGGTATCTGAGGTGGTAAGCATATTTGATTTGCATTTGGTACAATTCTGAACTAGTTCAAGTCATTATCTTCCACTATATTCTGTTATCAGTCACCGTCTTAGATTTTGCAAGTGCTTTTTGAGACTTGCCAAATCCCCAACCCACTTTCGCATATTGATTTGCACTATAGGGTTTGGTTGCATATATGTTTTTTAAGATCTCTTCTCAGAACATAGTTTTTTATTTTTTAAAATTATGTTAATATGATGATATTAAAAATAAGGAATAAAAAATATACTATAACGTATTTTATTCTGTAAAAAATATACCTCTTATCTGCATCGACGTCATAATAAATTCAAGCAAAAAAAAAGAAGAAGAAGAAGAAAAGGAACGGGTCGATGCTTGGGCAAGCAACGGGAAATATGCTAGGTAGGCGGTCGAGATCGAGAATAAGTACTCGAGTGGAATTTAGGAATCGATCCGGGATATGATAAAGCAACAGAATCTAGAGATAACGATTATTCTTTCGATACGGTGCATGACAAATAGGAAAGAATAATATTCTATTATATATCTCATGCAAATGTTAATATCTATCAAATCAACCATCAAATTGCAATACTAACCTCCTTCTTCTTTTGTTTTTATATTTTAAAAATATTTTTTAAAAATTAATATATTTTTTAATTATTTTAATATACTGATATTAAAAATAATTTTTAAAAAATAAAAAATATTATTATATATATTTTTTAATAAAAAAATTATTTAAAAAACAACTCTAACCACAATTACAACTAATATTTTAGCATATTAGTAATTGCTACTGGTATAACAGATTAATAATAATATTTTTTTAATTTAAAATAATATTAAAGATGAAAAAATTAGAAAGTCACGCCCCTTGCAAAAATCGAGATTTTCTTCTTTCTTAGGTAAGCTAGGATGGCACCAACTCGAACTAACAGAGAATTTATATAAATAAAATCTTCTTCTTCTTTTTTTTAATATTTTTTTATATGTAAAGTATCGCTTATGCAAACTAGGCTCGCATAAGAAAATTTATATCCTGCGATCCGTGATTATTGTTATTAGTAGGCAGAGAAGTTAAAACTCGAAACACATTAAATAACCCTGTCTAATTTACCGTCTCAGCTATCCAATTCTTTTTTACCTCCTCCTCGCCAAATTAAAAATTAATTTCCGGAAACAACCAACTTTTAATTGCTTGCTCCCTCGACACTTTACCCTCCTCCCAGAGATGTACCTGACTCAAGTTCAACGTTGTAGCTTTTATTTTAATCCTCACGGTGGCGAATTATTATGCGTTTCTGATATCTCGTTTATCTTATATAGAAGAATAATACTCGAAAATAATTACCATCATGCTGGCTGTATTTCATTAAAAGAAATAAAAATAAAAAAACTTTTAGGTTAATGGGCCTTTGAGTGGTGGGTTTTAATTATTCTGGGCTGTCTTTTACGGCTAATGGGCTGTAGGTTAAGTTAATTGAGCCTTAGACTTTTAGGTTATGGTCTCTTCTTTTCTTTTCTTTTTCTCCACGAAAAAGTTAGAGAAACAAAAAAAAAAAATCTAAAGCGTGATTTTTTTTATTGGGATATTAAAAGATAAAATAAAGTGAAATAAACAAAATTAAAATAAATTATAATTAAGCTATGTGACTTGGCCATGTATATTTTGAATTGGGCTTCAGTTCATATAATACTTTTTATTCAGGCCTTTCTGCTCATGTCCATTTACCTGTGACCAGATAAATAACTTTTTATGGAAAAAAATACATTCCTCGTCAGTAATCTAATCAGCTTGGGCGACCAGATAACTTGTTGTATGCTAAGAAACAACTACCCATGGACAACATTTTTAATCCTTTTCTTTTTGCATTTATTATTATTTTTCTTATCAATTTTCTCAACATCACACTCATTTTCCTTTTTAGCCCATTATCCTTGTTAATTTTCTCAACGTTACCCTTCCCTTCTTTCTTTGACCCATCCTTCTCCTCATTCTAATTTCTTGCACTCTCTTTAAAATTCACTTTTTTCTCTCTCCAGAAATGTTTTCATATTTAGTTGAATAAAAGCACTTTACCTCGTCTCCTTGCCTTTAAGTATTTTGATTCATTATGTGAAGATCAATACATTCACCTCAATATATGAATTACGAACCAAACTCATTGCTCTTGCAACAGTATTTATATGTAGAATTATGGTCGCCCATCTCACTATGATAAATAAAGGTAACTGCTGAGATTTCTAGCCATAATTAAAGGAGGCCTCCCTCCTATTATATGGGCCAACTTTTAAAAACATGGTTTGGGAAGGTAAATTATTCGATTTCTAACCAACTAATAATAATAATAATAGATGTTTGAAACATCACCCATCAATGAAGAGCAAAAGTCTTGGATGGCAAACAATTTCTCTGTCTGAACATCTTTTGTTTTTTGGTGTTTTGATGGGAAGGTATTGGTTCTAGTTTTTTTTTTCATGAGAAATCAAACATGTATGGAAAAGTTAATTGATTAAATTTTAAATTTATTTTTTAAAAAATTATCAATTTAAATTTTACAAACTTTAAGTTCATTGAAAATTTATATAATTATTAAGTTTAGAACTTATAAAATTAGTTGAGATATACACAAGCTAACCTATCTAAACATCCACATTAATCTAAAAAAAAAATATTCATGCATTAAACTCAAATTTATAGCATCCATAAAAAAAATCTTAATTCTAGAGTAATATTTATGAACAAAATTGTTCTATACTTATGAAGAAAAATATATTAGATTTAAAACTGAATTAGCATTTATAAAATAAAAAATAGGATTAGTATTCTCTAATAACAGGAAAAGTTCAATAAAATTTATATGCCAATTTATATTAGTGTTAGAAAATAATATCAATTATATCTTGGGATCTTACCTAACAGATTAAGCTTTTAGGTGAGATGATTATTTAACATGATATCAGAGCATCGATGATCAAGCGGTCACGAGTTCGAATCTCACCATCTTCATTTATTTGATAAAAATTAAGCATAATGTAATATAGGTCTGTACAAGTTTGAAGTTTAAAGAGCTTTCACTTAAAGGGTGTGTTAAATAATAATATAAATCATGGTTCTTTGACAATTAGAATGTTCAGGATATAAAAAAAAAAAGTAATTTCATGAAAGGCAACAAGGTAATAATTGGTATGGTGATATAAGTTATTTTTTAAAATATTTTTTATTTGAAAATATATTAAAAATATTTTTTAATTTTTAAAATTTATTTTTGACATAAATACATTAAAATAATCCAAAAAAAATTTAAAAAACATATTTTTTTAAAAACACTACTTAATTACAATGTCAAATATCTTTTTAAATGAAATTTAAATATAAAAAATATCCTATCCAAACTTAACTAAATGAAAAGGTTAACAGGAGTCGAATTTTTTATTTTATTTTATACGGTGATTCGCATGATATGCCGTTAAAAATAATATTAGTTTTTGAGCTTGTGCTTTTTAAAGCAAGAGTATTTTTAAAATAAAGAATGATGTTGGGATCCTGAAATAGAATAAAAGAAAAAATTATAAAAAATTAGTCATAATAAATATATATTATATATTAGGTTTTGTTAATTTTGCCTTGTAAGATTGACAGAACCAGAAGTTTTTTTTTTAAAAAAAAAAAAAAACCCGAGAAGAAAGGAAAGGAAAGAATAAATTTTGTGACGATAACAGCCACGCGAGCTTTGAACTTTGACGTCCACGTGAAAAAGAAAAACAATTAATAAAAAGAAAGATAAAAAAACGACAATGGTCTCCCGTGCCAAACAGCATAATTATTGACTTGCGCTTAAAATCGTTAATTTTGAAACAGTGAGTGAGAGCGAGTGGCAACTCAGCAAAAGGAAGGTTCATTGCCTCGTTACAAAAAGATACCGGATTTCATCTTCAGTAACTCACTATATAGAAAATTCAAATGCTACACGACATTTAAACAACTTTAGCCAAGTGTAGGCAAAATTGTGTGTGTGTGTGTGTGTGTGTGAGAGTGAGTGTGTGTGTAGCTAGATAACAGAATCAAAGAGAGAGAAAGGATGCACCAGGTGCAAGTGATGTCCCTGTTCTTGTTTACTTTAATTGGGAATGTTTTGAGTGGATCTAACCATGTTTTTCAAGATTTGAAAGATAGGGAAGGAGTCCTTTCCTTCCTTGAGTACCATGCGGCTATCTCACCTTCTTCCTCTGTTACTGATAAACCTCTCATGGTCGGCCTCACTCTTATTCAGGGAGCTGATTCCAGTGGCGCTGGTCCTTCCTTTCTCTCCTTAATTCTTGTGTCCATTGTTGGAATTGGATGCTCTTGTTATCAAATACTACTGTGAAAATGATTGACTGGGCTGTCTTTCTTATTTTTTCTCATTTCTTTTCAAGAATGAATTTCTTTGCTTGGCATACAGTTGATTGCTTTAACGATGTGATAGTTCTTAAATAGAGTCTGTGATATTGTGTAATCTTACTGCATTTATATCTTCAAAGAGGAGGAGATTATCTTACAGATTGAAAATGAGGCCATTCTTGTTTTATCTGAAGTTAACTGCTCGATGTTTTACTGTTACGTTTTCTTGTACCAGTCTGTTTGGATGGAACACTGCCCGGTTACCACTTGGATCGTGGGTCTGGAACGGGAAAAGATAGCTGGCTCGTTCAGTTAGAGGTATGTGAAACAATATTTCAGAATTGGCTTCGTTAGATTCCATTCAACAATAGCAGCAGCCTTGTCTTTTAAGTTTGGAATCTTCAAGAGCAAGCCAATTGTCATTTTTTGCATAGGAATATTAGTCTTTCTGTCTCTTCTTTTTTATGCTTTGTTATAGCTGATAAATGTGAATCACTTTTCGGTGTCTCTGGCTTGATGCAGGGAGGAGGGTGGTGCAATACCATTAGAAATTGTGTTTACCGCAAAACTACTCGTCGTGGTTCATCAAATTTTTTTGAAAAGCAATTACCTTTCACTGGAATATTAAGTGATAAAGCAGAAGAAAATCCAGGTTTCTTCCTAACCTAGGAAACTCCATACTCTGACTATTTCAATAGGAGTTTGGCTTATTGTTTGTAAGGGTGATCCATTGTTTGTAAAAGTGATGGTTTCTTATGCATACAGATTTCTTTAACTGGAACAGAGTTAAGTTACGTTATTGTGATGGCGCATCTTTTAGCGGGGACAGTCAGAATGAGGTTGGTGGGAATGTATGCTCCTTGTACTTTATTTCTCGAATAACTGTTACAGATAGAATATAAGGGCTTGCCTAAATTGCTCTAATCGGCTTCTTGCTGCATGGCATGCTGAAGATAATTGTTTTGGTTAAATGATTTAATTGAAGAGGTACTGTCCTCGGATATATCAGCAGCTGTGCTTTGAGCGCATTTTATAACTTCAATGCTGACATACTGAAGCAGCATGTCTTGTATTATAGTGATCCTTAGCATAGGCTGTTTCTTCATATTTTTTGTTTTAGCATTCTATAAGGTTCTTGTAGCATTGCATTTGCCAAATGTTACATGTAATCCGCAGGAGTGTCAGGAATTTTGGTGCTTGACGGGGTTCATCTAGAAACTCTGCTGGCTGATTATTTGTTTTCCTGTGGACCCAAATAGATATATCAATTTGATTCAGTGGCCTGAAATTTTACAGATGTCAAAGAATGACAGTATCAAACAGAGGAATACGAAAAACCAAACTTGGTTCTTCTGTTTTGAAACTGGGGACAATAAATGTTTTTGTTGGTATGGAGGAATTGCTTCCCTTTTCGTCTTGTTTCCTTTATGCTAGCTATGGAAAGATTTATTAGAGAATATAATGTAAAGAAGATTATGGTGCAATTAAAGTTAACCAAGAAATCAAATAAGACCATCAAAAGATTATAGTATAAGTGGAGATTAAGGAGATTAGATTGTGTATGATTGTAATATGGTTTGATTTGCTGTCTTAGTCTTTTGTATTCACTAAATAAATATAACCATATGTAACAATCCAATATTATCAATCAATACAATTCTCTCTTATTTTATTTTTATTCAAGGTAGTTTGGTTTAAAGTTTATTTTCCCTTCTAAAATTTGAAATTGCATTGACTCTTTGAGTTGCTTTTTCAGGCTTCACAGCTTTATTTTCGAGGACAGCGTATCTGGTCAGCTGCAATGGAATATTTAATGGCTGAAGGAATGCAAAATGCCACTCAGGTATTTAATTTGTTATGTCTTTTCTGAACATTATACTGTTCTTTCAGTTCCATTCAATTTAGTCCACAAATGTATTTTAGGCTCTTCTCTCTGGATGCTCTGCTGGGGGCTTGGCATCCATAATTCATTGTGATGAATTCAGGGAATTATTTCCACAGTCTACAAAAGTGAAATGCTTAAGTGATGCTGGAATGTTTCTCAATGCGTAAGAAGCTTTTCTTAATTCTTTTTGATGGCTTCTATCAGTGCATGACCTTCAATTGAAATATATGTCATTGATGATTTTTTTTTTTTTATGGAACTCATGCAGAATGGATATATCAGGTGGGCACACCCTGCAAAACTTTTATAGTGGTGTAGTGAGCTTACAGGTATATCTTTAAACAATTTCCATGCTGGTGAAAGCAATTTTTTAAGTAGAATCATTTTGTGTGATCCTTATAGAATCTGAATGCTTTGATATGATAGCTATTAATATGCTGGTTCACCTTTTTCTTCGCTGCGTTAAATTGTAGGTATTATCTCTCCATTGAATACATTTCTTCTTGGTACTTGGTCATTGATTGACCATGTGTATATGGATGAAATTGTAGGAAGTGCAAAAGAGTCTGCCAAGTACTTGTATTGACCACCTAGATCCAACTTCGGTAATCTTCTGGCTTGATTATTGAGTAGTTGCACCAGTACATTTTAATGTCAGAGATTTTATGATTCTCGCCCTCTCCTCAGTGCTTCTTTCCCCAGAATTTGGTTGCTGCTGTAAGGACTCCTCTATTTCTTCTCAATTCAGCCTATGATGTATGGCAGGTAATCATTTTATCTTCAAATTTTCTTTCTAATAGCTAACAAGGAAAGGATTATGCACTATGTAACAATTATACTTTCTCAAACAGCTATCATGCCGTTAAACAGTAGGTCTTTTGCTACATTCGAAAAAAGATGTTGTAATTAGTTTTTTTACCCTGAGGGTAGAGGCTTGGTGAAAAATGTTTCATGTTGCCAAAACCTACCAGTTTGAGTTTAGTTCAAATAAAAATTTTCCCTGTTCAACCCCTCTTTGTTGCAACTTGAGCCGAAGGCCAGGAGCCATCAGCAGATGTGACTGACACATGATTTCTAAGGCAAGTAGAAGAGTCCTCGGTTTAAAAATTGAGATAGTACTAAAACCAAGAAAACCGAAGAGAAGAAAAGAATGAACAGCAGAGCAAACATTGGGATAAGGGCTAAAGAAATTGCATGTGAACACTAGTGAAACATCAAATCAACACTGCAGTTACATTTTATGGGCCAAGTCAATTCCTGAAAGTTGGATAGCTTGAGTAAAATTTCTTCTCTTTGTTTTTTGGCAGCTGCGATCCAGTTTAGCTCCACCAGCGGCTGATCCTCATGGTACGTGGAAAGAATGCAGACAAAATAATGCACAATGTAATTCATCTCAGATCAAATTTTTGCAAGGTAGAATTTGAAATAAACTTTCTTTTGCTTGGTTGTTTAACCCCTGCATCAATATTCAGTTTGACTTGGAACTCATGATTCATATATATAGTGGTCTGTCCTTTCTCTGTTATAAAACAGACTTCAGGAATCAAATGCTGGATGCCATAAAAGTCTTTTCATCATCCAATCAAAATGGTTTGTTCATAAATTCTTGTTTTGCTCATTGCCAATCTGAGAGACAAGATACATGGTTCGCTGATGATTCTCCACGTATAGGGAACAAGGTATGGTGATAAATTTCTTAGACAGAGGCTTTATAGTAAATGTAGAATAGATATTCACATGTGATCTGTTTGTCCCTTGTTCTTTTCATAGAACAGACAGATTACAATGAAATTATTTCGCATTTATAGTGTGATCCGATGAACACACAAAGGATGCCTTGCATGCGTGCATGTATGGAACTTAAAAACTTGCACTAATTAAATTTCACTCTATGCAGAGGATTGCACAATCTGTTGGAGACTGGTATTTTGATCGAGAAGATGTTAAAGCTGTTGACTGTCCATATCCCTGTGACAACACATGCCATAATCTAGTTTTCAAGTGAGTGATAACTTATCCATCGGTTCCTCATGGCTTCATCTTTATTCATTTCCCTGATTGACACATGTAGAACTTGGAACATTTGTTTGTGGTGATGATTAAGACATCACTTGGCGGGGTGAATGCAGTGAATAGCATCACTCTTCCTTAATGTGTATGGACATGTGATCTCTCTGTTGTATTTTACTGTCCCAGTAGAACATAAAAGTTCACCGGGCATCAAGTTGAAATGAATATTCGAGATAATATAGAAAACCCAATGTCATGGTTCAGCCATCATGCCTCATGCTTCTGCTGTCATTTCCTCCTGCTCAGCAATCATAAACCATGAATTTCAGAAAATTCAATTCAATCACAGATTTTAAATTCTGTTCACTATATAACGCTCTATTCTTTTGTCAGAATCATGAGTCTATGACACTGTTATGCTGAAAAATGGTGTGTGTGTGCTGGCTTTAGATCCCAAAATTGAATTTACATGGGTACAATGTTAATATTGCTGTTACCGAGGACATATGTTAAACTAATTTGTTCTGTCCCTGGTGTCACCATGTAAACCACGAGTGATATGCTTCGAGTCGTGTGAATGGTGATAGCTTGTATCATCGTCCGGTTTCTTTTCTTTCTGTATAATTCATGCACCATTTTGCTGAATTTCAACTGACGAAAACTAAAATCAGTATCTCCCTCTGCAGTGATGTTGTTTCAAACATAACGTTCTCCCAGTCTACAAGGTTAACTTCAACCCCATTAAATCTGCTCATCATCTTCTTGGTGTTATTATGTTCTATAATCTCTACGGGGTTTAAGTTTGTCCGGTGACATTTGTCTTCAAGTCCATATCGATAAAGACATGGTGTGTAGATCTGTTTGCTCACAGCCATATGAAACCATTGGCTCAAGGCACCATTTTTAACGGTCATTGCATTTCTTATGCTCTTGCAGCTGGTCCTGAGTTTCTTATTGCATTTCAAGCAGAAGATTTTACAAGAACTTAACATTAGTTCTAGGGGTTGTCAATTTTGATCTGTCTGCGTTTTATTTAAAATTGACTGTGTCATGGGTTCTGCGTAGATTATTTTCCATTTCTATTTGAACTCAGATTTTGCAAGCTTTTATATTTTCATGGGAAAGGTATAACATCCATAACATCATGAGCCCGGGTCTATGTACTCGGAAATATGCAAGGCACTCTACTGTCGAAGAAAATGAACAGGCGTTTATGTTTGTCAATGGGATACAGAGATGATTTCCACATAAGTACCCAATATTTCTGGGCGTTGGACCTAAAATGCTTGAGTTTTTTATAATTAGCTCGTGAGTACGTGCATTGGTGGTTTCTATCCTGAAAAGGAAAGGGATGTGCGCCCAGATTAAAAGTAGCTCTTCTTTTCTGGATACACAATGTAACATAATCTCAATCTAAATGCTGCAAGCACCCAAATCAATCAAATCTGACAACAAACAATTAGACAAACCGTATACAAAACCTTCAAAATCACACTACAAGTAATGAACTATGTTTTTCAAGTCTACTACCATCTTCTTGCTTCCAATCCCAGTGTGCACGTGATATTTACAACAGCGGGAAGCTGTACAAAAGCAAGTAAAGTAGTGGGCAAATAATGTTTTGACTCCAACTTCAATCCCAGGAACCCAACTAGAAATGAAAATGAAGGTAACCTTCACGAAAAGAGAGGCAAATTAAACTCTTATGTAGGAAAGAAAATGAAGAGGTAAGGTAAATTTTCTTCACCCCACAAAATAAAATGAAAACAAAAAAGTATAGATTAGAATCCGCAAACATCACTAGTCAGACGCCACCATGTCGAGATGCAGATGCAATTGCCACTGCCTGTGCCCATACCTTGAGCCTTGCCTTAACATCTCGCGGATCATCACCTGCATAACAAATTCCACACTCAATTAGACACAAAAGTTTTAACTTTGAGGCCATTACAAACAACACTGAAAATATAGTATGTGAAACTCAACAGCCGGCAATTCGTCCGAATTAGTGACAGTGCTGGTCATATTCAGAGCTCTTAATCATCCATCTCAAGTCTTGGTCCATAAATCATTTCAAAGATTCTATCTTTTGCAATGTGTAGGCATACCGTGCAGAGAGAAAGTCAAGAGACGTTATTGGTAAATGTATACTAACCAGGGCTAGAGATGCGCCAGTTGGCAATAGGAGAATTGCCACCACTGCTAGTATCAAGAGTAGATCCTGAAAGGGAGACACGACCAGGCATCTCTAGCATCCTCTCATGTTCCAATTCAAACCCAAGATCCCTACAAGCCTTCACTTCATCCAAGTCCATACACAACGACCTCCTCCCTCCTTTCGGCCTTGTTATCACTACCAACCCACCACCTTCACTCTCCCCGCTAAAACTATTACAATACCCATAATTGCTCACCCCCGTCATCTCCTCTTCTTTCTTTTTAAAACTCATGTTGTTATTGTCCATCCACCTTTCTCTTATGACCCTTCTTTTCCTCAAGTTCTTTCTCATCTTTTGTCTCGTACTACTCTTTTGAGCTTCATTTTCACTGGCATAATCTTTCGCTCCAATTAACTGTACTTGATTTATTAAGCCACCACGATTTCTCCTCCTAGGTGGTGTCGCTGGAAGTGAGTAGCATCCTGGTTCTTCATCAGAATCTGAAGAGAGGTCAAGTGTGTTTTTGTTATTGCCTTCTTTATGATCATCAGAGAGTTCCTCATCCGCATCAAAATTCTCTGCAGACAACCTTGAAAGAAACATCTTCATCCCATCACAATCTTGATAATCATCATCTTCATTCGTGTACATGGAACTTGTACAAATGGACAACCTAGACAGGTTATGAAGACTAGGAGGCTGACACCCATCATCCGTGTCATGATCATATGGATCATCTTCTTGAACTGAAGAAGAAAGCAAGGCCATGCTCTCATCTGAAGCCATTTGCCAACTGACAAGCCCTGATGATCACTAGCTTATCAAAAGTTTATCGGTGTGTCAGAAAAAGAACAAAAAAAAAAAGGAAAGCAAAGTGAAGTGAAGGAGATAAAGTGTTGCAGTTTTATCAAAGAAAAGGGAAAGAGAAGGAATACAAGAGAGGGCAGCACTCTGGCAGAAGAGGTTAAATAAATAAAATGATTGTGGCTTTCGGATTTCTGTGAATCATTCGTTTCTCATTTCATGATAAGGTGAAGCGTAAACACGTTTCCCGGACCAAACATTCATATTTATGCAATGTTGCTTGCTTGCCATCCCTAAAATGCCCTTTCCACTTGTCACTTTGTGCTTGGCTTTTCTTGCTTGAAAGTATTTGACTGGGAGGGATGTTTTAGTAATCAGGATTGTTCGTGAGACATTTTAAACGCTAACATTTGACTGGGAGGGATGTTTTAGGGATTGTTCGTGAGACATTTTAAACGCTAATCCGACACATCCGTGCTTCGGTAATAAGACGCTCCTGGGAGTTGGTTCAAACAGCATCTTATAAAAATTTGATTTTAGAACAAATAAATTATTTTAATGTTAAAAACAATTTTTGAAAAATAAAAAAAGTTGTACTTTTATAGATTTTAAATAAAAAACACCTTAAAACAACATTTACTCGTTGAATTGGAAATTAATTAAACTCGCTGGATTGGAAATTCACACGGCAAATTAAAGATAATTGACTCACAGAATCAGTGTAAATAGTGATTAGTGAGTGCCCCTGCCGCCACTAGTTTATTGACACGTGATCACAGATAATTAAGTCTGGGATTCGTTAACGTTAAAGGATCACGACTTGCTACAATATCAGAGCAAGTGTGGAGCAAGGGAAGGAACACGGACAGAGACCTGCCTGCACGATGTCCTGGAAATGACAGGTATTGATAAAGGCAATGCTCACGGGTCCATTTGACGCACCGAAATTCGGCTTGAAGGCTCCGATTTGCTGTGGTTGCTGCTAGCCATGGCGATGGAGGGATACTACTCGCTGCTGATAAAAAAAATGGAGGGCATTGTTCAACTTTCCCGCCACGGTTTGCCCCGTCGTTTTATCCTCTGGTTTTGAAGTGGAGTTGGGATCCAACAAAATGAGTAGAGGGTCTATGTAGCACTGTTTAGCGAGGGATCATAAAGGGCAGTCCAGTTAAGCCCCGAGCATGTGTGTCTCCAATTGGTTTCCCGAGTGGCAAATCTCACTCAAACTGGCTATCATCAAAAACATAATGATTGAGTTGAAATTGGATGTTTTTCAAAGGCTTCATAATCCTACTCCTTTTTAGCGTAAGCTTCCAATATTGTATAGTATGGTTACTCCTCCCCAGTGGCGCTACACAATTGCAACCTTGCTACTAGCGCGCCTTTACTTTTTCACTTTTTAGAGTATCTAGGTAGTGAGTTAAGATTTGACATTAATTATTCTCACTTAACCTTTAACCTTTTATGAAATAAGTAGTTTTTCAAAATATATTTTTATATTAAAATATTATTTTTTTTAATTTTTTTGAGTAGTTTTTATATTAAAATATTATTTTTTTAATTTTTTTAAATTCATTTTTAATATCAATATATAATAACAATATAGAAACATAAAAAAAAAATTAATTGGAAACAAGTAAAAAAACAAAATATTTTTAAAATACGAAAATAATAAGGCTTTGGAATATGAAAAACAAGTGCTCTTTACGAGATCAACTTTTTTTTTTTTTCATTCGATACTTTTTAATCACGTATCAACTTTTTTTTCATTCGATACTTTTTAATCACGTAAGCAAAGTGCTCTTAAAAGCACTTTCATTTCCGAAACTGCCCTCCTAGATATTTACAATATGAGGGGTAGTTCTGGTAGTGGACAAGGATGTTGGGTAAATTTGGCCACATTAGGCCCACGAGACTGCCTTACTTGATGACGATGATGTATATAACCGCGTTCAATAGGACAGCTGTCCGCGTCTTTAGCTCTTCTCAAAGCTCACAACCTCGACTCCTGCTGAGGACGAAGACATGGGAATGGTGGTGTGACAGCACCCAGGGCCCAATGGGGTCCATCCAACAACGGCCCTACATAAAGTCACCAGATAGTGATCGGGTATAGTGTATTTTTAATTCCTTTTATATTATCAAAATTAGAATTATAAAAAAAAGTTATTAAAAAATATTAATTTAACATTTAAAGCTTCTGACCATGCTAAATGGACACTTACACATGGCATCATCCCATCAAACCCAGGACATCTGTCATCCTTTGATGAGAGTGAGTAGTCCGCATGCTTTTCTTCCAGCAGGAGATGTTGATATTCCTCCGCAAAATCCTGTTTTTATAATTTCTTTAGCCACCCTCCTTTATCCACATGAATTATATAATTATAGATGATTACTAGGAAAGAGTGCTGCTTTGGACCAAAAATATTGGTACAACAAACACAGGAGCCTGGATTGCATTTGAAATTATGTTTTTCAAAATATTATTTTTTATTGTTTTAATTATTTTAATTTGATGTACCAAAAAAAATTTAAAATATAAAAAAATATAACATTTTGATATATTTTTAAATTAAAAATACTTTACAAAGTAATCAGTACCACACTTTTAAATATTTTCTTATAACTTATTTGTTATTATAGTAGCGGTTGTTTTTAAATTATTTTTTATTTTAAAACCGGTTGTTTTTTAATTATTTTTTATTTTAAAATATATTAAAATAATATTTTTTATTTTTAATATTATCATCTCAAAATAAATATAAAATTATCAAAAATAAATTAAATTAAAAATAATAGATTTTAAAGGGCACGGTAAACGCTGCCGCTCACCGACCGTTCATGTATTGACAAGTCGCTATTTTAAGCCAGCTCCGTTGATGGCAATTGTAATGGATGGTTGGCATGGGAAGAGGAGTGATTGGGATAATTACACGTATTTTTGTTCTTGATCATAATAAATATATCTGGAGAGGACAATCTCACGCACAAAACTTAGGAGTTGTGAGGATGATTTAGGCCGTCTAGGAGTTTGTGTGGCTATGATTGCATTCTGAGTGCTGGGACCCCATCATATATTGTTTTTTTGTTTTTTGGGAATGTAATAGTGTATGATTCTTTTTCTCAATAATGCAAGGGTGAAGAGTTGAAAATTATTAACTTTTTTCTTTTTAATTAGACATAATTAGGTGTGATAGAAACACATAATAAAGCAATTCGTACTCCTTCTTGCTGATATAATGTACAAAATTTAAATCAAAACGACAGAACTCAAAGACAATATTAGTTAATAATTTTGAATTCAGGTATATATTTTTTTAAGAATTTGAAATAATTAGGGTTTTATTTACTAATTTAGACTTATAAAATATATTTTTAAAAAATAAAATTTTCTCAAATTCAAAAAAAAAGAAGTTAATAACATATGTTTTTGGAAATAATAATATGATAGTTATTATCTCTCTAGAAAACTCATGAGGAGGTACACTGATATGATAAAAAGAATATGGTCAAAAGGGACTGCAATTAAATTGTAAAAAAATATACATCTAGACTGAGTCGTCAACGCTGTGACAGAAATAAATAAAAAGAATAACAAAACAAAAAATCCCATAGCTTCAGGAGTTGAGACTAAATAATTATAACAGTATATCAAGGTTTATTATGATTGGTCGAGGCATTCAATCAATTCTTCATTGGGTGTGGCACGTGAATAACATTGCTTTCATCTCAAACTTTTAGACGTTGATATATTAAATTTAAACATGTCTCCACGGACCTTCAGGCTATCATATTTAATTAATATACCAAGTTAATGTTAAACATTTATACTCAGGGCGGAGACAGGGGTTGGCAGGGGCTCCAGCTGCTAGAAATTAATAGTATTTATAATTTTAGCTTAAATAATAAAATAATTTAAATTTAAGCTCCTTTTAATTTTATTTTTTAATTCCACGCAGGATGTATTATCAAGAAAAAATAATAATAACGGTATACTCTGTAGATATATTTCACTGAACAATAAAATAACTTAAAGCCTGGAAAAATATGCCATCAAAATATTGTATTCAGCAATGAGATGGACCAACTCATTGTTAGAATTTGTTTTATAAATCATAGATAATGGCCCAAGATGTTAATGTTCATTGTTAGAATTGATTATTCGTCAGTTTTGATTTCAGAAATCAATATAAAAATGGGTGGAAAATGAAATGTTTCCAGATCTTTGGTTCATGTCCATGCACATAGCTTTTAAGTATACATTTCTTTGGTTGGTTAATTTTTGAAGCAAATGAATACTTTAAAAGTATAGTTGTTTGAATCTAAAAGGCTTGTTGATATCTCTAGTGCTTTTGAGTTTTATCAAGCATCGCAACTTTTCTGGTTTTAACACGCTATTCAGGTGA